CTCCTGGAGATGGACTTACAGACGTCCATTGGGAGGCAGCAGGCCGGCGGTCAATTCTTAGGCTGAGGGCAATGGACAAAGAGAAATGGAAAAGCAACTCTAATGGCTGGGATTGAGAGGAGGCCAGGTGGATTGGTCCGCTGGGAAGGGCAACAGGCTGGAGGTCTTGCTCTGCCACTGACCCCCCGTGTGACTTTGGCCACATCCCTTCCCTTCTATGTGCCCGCTTTGCCCTTCCCCACTCAGTCCTGCCAAAAGTGGGTGTTTGAAGGCTTGGAGTCAGGTCCTTCGCCACTGTGAGACAGGCTTGAAAATGATGAGCTTCAAATGATAGAATCACAGAAAATGAAGGTTGAAGGGACCTCAGGAGGTCACATCTAGTCCAACCTCCTGCTCCAAGCAGGACCAGCCCCAACTGCATCATCCCAGCCAAGGCTTGGTCTACCCGGGTCTTCAACACCTCCAAGGATGGAGACTGCACCACCTCTCTGGGTAACCTGTTCCAGTGCTTTACTACCCTGCTAGTGAGGATCTTTTTCCCTAATATCCAACCTCAACTTCCCTTGCTGCGACTTGAGCCCATTGCTCCTTGTTCTACCACCTGCCCCCCGAGATGGTCTGAGGCTGGTTTTAAGGCCCTTGCGGACACTGCTTCAGACCGGACATTAGAAATGGGGTTAGAAGCTCTCCTCCATGGACAAACAAAAGCCTTTTCCAGTCCATCAAAGCAGGCAGTTAGGCACGCTCAGATGGGATTCATCCAGGAACTAGCGAGTGATGGTTAAAAGCATTCTCACGCTCCTTTGCTGCAGCCAACGTGGGTTTCAGAAAGCAGCCCACATAATGCAAGGGACAGGATGGGTCTCGTCCGTGCTGCACTGTGTGAATCTCACTGTCCTTTTCTTTGCTTCAAAGCCGTAGCCCTCAAAGGAATCAAATGCCCTCTAGGAAATTAAGCAACTCCGTGATACATCAGCTATTCCTGGCTGGGTCACCAATGACACGGTTCATGGTTGCTCACGAGGCGATGTAGGTCAGAAGATATTCATAGTATCATGGAAAATGAGGGCTGGAAGAGGTCACATCTAGTCCAACCCCCTGCTCCAAGCAGGACCAGCCCCAACTCCATCACCCCAGCCGAGGCTTTGTCTAACCGGGCCTTCAGCACTTCCAAGGATGGAGATCGCACTGCCTCTCTGGAATATCATCCTGTGCAACAGAGGCAAGAAACCTAAAGAGCCCTTTGTTCCTTGTAATCATTGCAAGCAAGGATTGCAGAAAGGCTCGGGCATTTATACGACCAGTGTTGAATATCCCTCTATGATAATCTCTAGCTAAGTCAGGGAGAAACTTCCCTGGAAGTAGACGATGCCATCGGTAGAGTCTTTGGGGGGAGATGTTGGACCCAAGCCATTGGGGTAAGACAAATTCCTACCCCAACCCTGTCCCTAGGAGCCTCCCGCACTCCCAGGTGCCCATCAGTGGCCGAGTGCCACCTCTGGAGGTCTCTGTGGTCATTCCCGTGGAGGCATTGCTGTGAAAGCCACTCTGTCTGGCCTGGCGGAGAACCAGCTGGGAGGGAAGGTTCCCTCCCCCAAGGAGGAAGGAGGTGGGCAGTAAGTTTAACAAACATGTTGGTATTTGGAAGTAATTCCCAGCTCCGGTTTAACACACAGACTGCGTTTCCCATTGCTAACTGGCAGCAAAGAGCTCATCAACATTTAAATAAGAGGCTTGTTAGTGCCAGCGTGAAGCGGGCTTGCATGCCAAGGCTGGCTAAGGTTTCTTGCCAAGGATTTTCGAAGAGAGAATTTCTCGAGGAAACTCCTTCCAAAGGGGAAAACTTGCTCCTGGTTTGTAGAGCAAGGGCTGCATCTTCAGAGGTGCTGAGCATGCCAGGTGAAGACAAGGAGATGTGCGGCCCGCTCTGAAAAGCAAACCCCCAGCTTTATAGTGCTTTAGCGGAGAAAAAAGGCAAGGTGCTTTGCAACGCATTGCATATTCTTCCAGGCAAGGGCAATACGAACAGAGACACGGATGGACAGCCCTGCGGATGCAGCACGGGCTACGTTTTGCTCCAGGTTTTCTATAGCACTGATTGCTAGCGTTGCATGGATAGATGTTTCTATGGCATCTATGATTGTGGGGCCCCAAAATCACCGCTCTCGCACAGGGTCATGCATGATCTCTATCAGGCCCTTAAACGAGCCCTATGTGCTGCTTCGATCTCAGGTGCAGAGGCAACGTTCATGGCCAGGATCTTCCCTTGTGCTTATTATCACCAATCCTTCATCCCACCTGGGCCCCTGTCCAAATGGGAAGCCCAACATGGGGCACCACAGGCTTCCTACAAGGGTAGAAAACCATGTACTCGACACATCTATTTCCTGGCCACGGTTTATTGCCTCCCCTTCGCTGTGTCATGTAGCAGGAATAATGTCAGCGGTGGTGGAGTACGCTCATGGTAATTGGCTTTTGCTGTAATTAAATGCCTCAGCGCCAGCATTTAATCAGCCGCCAAAGCCGTTTATTGCCTCATATACTCCTTCACCACAAGCATTACCCCTTAATTAGTTGCTGGAATAGTGATGATTTAGCAGCGTCTTTATATTTATACTTAACGGCGGCAGTTTCTGGCCAGCTTCAACAATATTGCGAGATACAACGGCTGTCCTTTCTGCTGCCGGATGATTCGGGCCATTTTCTTTCTCCTTACCTTGCAGAAGTGGTGTCATTTGTCCGGCGGCTCCTCTGGGGACATCGCAGCCGAGTTTTCGGTCGCTCCTTGGCTGCCTCTCTTCTTGCATTTTAATGTGAATTTGGAGTCGGAGAAACCTTGTGTTTAGCCCCAAAACACATGCAGCTGCAACAGCAGGGTCATCTTCTCTACCGCAGGATGTACTGCAGATAGGAGGAATCCCAAACTATTTAGCCTGGAAGTTCCCGGGGCAGAGGTCACCTTCCTGTTGGAGGTATGTACAGCACCGAGCGCGGCCAGAGCTCTTGCAGGAGCCTTTGGCTGCCAACGGCAACCCCAATTCCACTTGCAACCTGCTCCAAGTTTCTCCCCGTCTGTTTTGTATCAGGACCATCTCTGCAAAGGCTTGGGAGAAAGGAGAGACACAGCAGAGCTGGCCTTGCTCTGTAGAGCCGCTGGCTGCTCAAACGGGGATGGGTGGCAGTACGAAATGGGCATCTTGAGGGTCAAAACCCCAAATGTCCCTGTAGGGCAAGAAGCGGGCAGCTCACGCCGGCACTGACAAGCACCGAGAGGTGCATCTCTCCGACGGTTTGGCAATGCCGATGGAGCTTACCGTGACGATGGGCCGGAAACCTGCGACTTCTGCCACACGGAGACAAACCGCGGAGCAAGCGGTGGTCGGATGCTGTTAAGATCCAGGCCGACCTGGGGTGGAGGCAGCACCTGATTTTCAGATGGGCCAAACAGCCAGTGTTGGCGTCATCTCCAAACGACTCCCGTGGCAGCTTGAGAGCAGCTGCAAGGGAAGCACCAGCACCTGTGCCGAGGGGATCGCTTCTCCTCTGTCCGTGTGAGATCACTTGTGTGTGTGTATGTGAGTGTGCATGAGTAATCACTGTGTGTGTGTGTGTGTGGGCATGAATGATCACTTCTTTTTGTGTGTGCATGCGAGTGATCACTTCTTGTGGGGGTGTGTGTGATCACTTACCTTTGTGTATGCGTGTGCATGAGTGATCACTTCTCCGTGTGTGTGTGTGTGTGTGTGAGAGAGACAGAGCGATCACTTTGCCTTGTATGTGGGTCTGAGAGTGATCACTGCCTTGTGTGTGTCAGATCACTTAGCCGTCTGTGTGAGATCACTTCTCTGTGTGAGATCACTTCTCCTTGTGTGTGCACAAGTGATCACTTCGCCTTGTGTGTGTGAGATCACTTGGCATTTTGTTCATGTGCGATCACTTTGCCTCATGTGTGTGCTCACTTCTCATGTGTGTGTGCTCACTTCTCCTAGTGTGTGCATGTGCATGTGATCACTTTTCCTTGTGTATGCGTGTGCATGAGAGAGCACTTCCCCTGGTGTGCGTGTGAGAGCAATCACTTCTTGTGTGCATGAGAGATCACTTCTCTTGGTGTATGAGTGTGCGCGTCTGTGAGAGAGGGCAATCGCTTCTTGTGCGTGTGAGAGACACTTCTCCTTGTGTCCGTGCATGCATGTGATCACTTCTCCTGTGTGCGTGTGTGTGTAGCATCAGATGAATGCACCAATGCCAGATCAGAAAAACCACCTTGCATTGCAAAGGAGGGGTGTTGCCTAGACCCTTGGGGAGCGGAGGTGGACTGGGATTGAACCTCTTGCACCAAAGTGACTTGCTAGCCCTTGGGGTCATGGAGAAAACCACCTGGAAATACCACCTGGGCATGAAGGCAATTAGGAACCCCGTATTTCTGCATATCTATGGATCATCATGATTTTTAAACCAGTCCTGACTGTTGCACCTGGACTGAGACATGCTTTGACCGCTCTCACGAGGCTCGTGAATGGGCGTACACGCCATGCTCACGTTCACCTACCACCAAGCAAGATGCTCAGCTCCAAGGTCGGCGTGGTCCATCTGATTATAGTTCAGCGCCGGGTGGATGTGTCGAAAGGGAGTTAGCAAATCTGCGTGAAGCACACACCGAGTTATCTCATGGATCAGGCATGGGGGCTCAGCCAAAACAAGGTGCTTTTTAAGGACCAGGGTTAGTGCACTTCTGTCCTTAAACCTGGCCTGGGATGTTGTATCAATCCCTCTTGCTGCAATAAAACCGGGACGGGGAAAGATTGCAGCTAAGAGAGACAGTGAGGAGGAAGAGGAGGAAGGAACAGAGAGGAGGAAGACAAAGAGGAGGATGAGGAAGACAAAGGAGGAAGACAGAGAGGAGGAAGGAACCGTAACTGCAAGCGGAGGCCGGGAGAAGGTAAATACCGCAAGTCTTGAAAAAAAAAAAGAAAACAATTTCACACACTAGCAAACAAAAATGAAATTTATAAAGGAGTTTATTGGATTGGTAAAATGTAATAAAAAGCATTTGTGATACTCCTTCTGCAAAGGAGGGAGGTGAGGGGGGGGAAGGCATCTGGCAATTTTGCATATTTATTTTCCCTTACAAAACATTAGAAAAGCATAACTGATAAAGTAAGGATAACAACGGAAAGAGCAGAGCAAAGAGGAAAATACATCTCAATATAATTGGATAATGCATAATAAAAATACAGAAAAACACATGCTTCTACCAGCTTTCATTCTCTTAGTGTAAAAAAGTCATTTCAGGTGTTGAATAAAAAATATATGCCGGTTGCTCTGAAATAGGCGGGTTAGGAGAGGTAACTAGCTGAGAACAAAAATATATCTCTTTGCATATTTATAAATACAGAAAACGTGGATGTGCTGGACTTGCCCTCAGCATCAAGGTGAATACAGGATTTAGAAATCCATGTGCACAAGTTACCAGAGAGTAAACTTCATATTTGGCCTGACGGGCCCGTGCGGCTAGCTACTGAGCACCTTCAAATCCATAAAGCCGGGAGGAAGACAGCATGGGGGCTGATCGGTTCAACGGGAGGCAAGGGTGCTCTTAGCCCCATGCGGGACTGGGCAAAACCTCCGTGGAAGGATCAGGCCCCTCATAGGTACGCAAGGGGCACTCTCCGGTGCCCACAAGTTCGGAGCAATCGCGAGACCTCAACTCACCTTCAACAGGATTCAAAGGCACGGCGTGTCCGACAGCAGACCCTGCCGTGGAGCTTGTCTTTGGCATGCAAAGCAAAGGTGCCGTCCTCCCTGCTAATGACCTCTGCGCAGGAAAACCACCCGTCCCTGCTCCCAGCAGGACCAGAGCGAGCGCAGCACAGCCCTCTGCCCAGGAAGAGATCCACAAGGCAACTGTGTGTGCAAGGCGAATCCATGTGTGCGAGGCATCCCAAAGGAGAACAGATTTCTGCCATGCAACCTTGCTGCCGCCTGGCCCTGCATTGGTAGCTCTCCTCCCTGCTGCATACTCATTTCCCTCTATTGCAGCAAAAACCTAAAGGGTTATGGCTTTGAGAACAGGCACTTAGTGAAAAGAGCAATGTCCAAGAGGGACGTTCCTGCAAAATGCCTACAGCTACGAGCTTCTGACCATGCTGGCTAAGATGCATCTCAGGTGCTTAGCAGCTACGGCTACAAGGCACATTACAGATACCGCGGACTGGACAGAGAGACGGGTCACAGACCTGGATCGGACTCACGGGAGAGTCTGTGAATGTCCAAAGGCCGAATCCGAAGGGGCTTCCTGCCCTTCCAGAGCGGTCAGTAAGGCGTGGGGTGGAGCAGAAAGTGCCAGGCCTCTTTTTTTTAAGACCAAGGTGGACAACCTCAACGTATTTCAATGGGAACCATAACCTCTGCTTGTGCATTTCAGTGCAAACTGTTTCCTCTTTATACCAGGGGTGTCAAACTCATCTAATCATAGAAAATTCAGGCTGGAAAGGAGCTTGGGAGGCCATATTTAGTCCACCCCCTTGCTCCAAGCAGGGCCAGCCCCAACCACATCATCCCAGCCAAGGGTTTGTCTAGCCGGGTCTTCAAAACCTCCAAGGATGGAGATGCCACCACCTCTCTGGGAAATCATCTTGCCCGCCCCATGGGCAGGAGGAGTGGTGTGGCTGACTCTGAGCTGGATCAGGCCCAGAAACACCCCTCTCCCATTTCCTCCAGCATGCAGGACCCAGTTCCTGTGATGCCCACTGGTCCAGGATAGCGTTGCACACGGTGCCCGCATGAGGCTGGACCACAATGCCTGCCAGATGTGGCCTGCGAGTCAAGTCCAAGGGTGGATCCGGCCTGCAGGACACCCCTGGTTTATACCATGCTGCCATCTGCATGGCAAATTAGCACCACGGCAAAGGTGGCCTAATTACGAAGAATTCCTGCTCTCCCATCATCATTGCACATAATCCCAGGATTAGCAGTCGAGAGAAAATGCACGTTTCTAGCAGAAGGATTGTGCTCTGAAGGCCTGCTGTAGAAGTGGGAAGTAAAACTAAACTGGGAAAGCACCAGACACCAGATTGCATGGAGAGAGCGATGGAGAGGTCTCAGGAGTGGGTCCTTCCCTTCTCCCAGCGCTACGCTGCCCATCTGCAGAAACCACAAAAGATCCTCCAGCTACGGCTGCCGAAGCGATGTGCTGTTTGCACAGGACTTATCTGACTTTGGCTTCAGCTCCTTGTTGCAGATCACAGCATTTTTCTCATTCTTGTTTTAGGAGCAGGCATCAAGAAACCAACCCCCCCCCCAAAAAAAAACCCAAAGACAAGCTGCACCAGTGCGGTGCGCCTCTTCCTCTTCGAGATGCAAGCTGCTTCCCAGATGAAGAAGCACGACCCGCTCAAATTCCTGTTTGGGACTGGAAATAGGTGTGACCTGGTCTTCAAAGTTGATGAATCCGAAATGATTGCCACCTCTTCAAGGTAAGGACCCTGAGCATCCATCATGTGCAGGGAACCCGGGTAGCTCAGGTCTCGGAGGACGGTCGTGTCAATCCAGGCCCCTGAGGGTGACTTAGCCCAAGCAGAGCACTGCATGGATGCAACGGGGTGCTGCTTGCTTTGTGCAATTGCAGCTGGCTCCGGTATCTCTCCACGGGGAGCACGGACACCCCCGGCCTTTATACAGGGCTCGGCGCAGCATGACCACGAGACGAGTAATGATAACCAAAGGACTGAAGAGACGTGGGCCTGATTTTCAGAAACTCTCACGAGTTGCATGCAGCTCTCCTGCAAAACGGAGGCGGGGGGTCCGTACTCCCGCAGGCCTGTTACATCCATCCCTTTGCTTCTGTCCTCTGCTTTTCCCTTGCATCGTGCGCTTCCACTTTCTGCTTGGAGGCGGCTTCACGGCCTTCGTTACCACCTTGTGTTGCTGACACTGGTCTTCCAATGCTTCAGGGGACCCTGAACGCTGGTATTATTTTAAATCTGTTCACCACGTGCATTGCTAATCCATCTGGCCTATTAAATGCAAGCCCTGCATCCCTGGAAGTGTGACGTTTCAGTAATTTAGGCTAAGTTTAAATGCAGTGGTGTCAGATTCCTAGTCGTTTCCCCCAAGCAGCACTGCCTATTTTTAACGTAAGACCAAATGGATGTGGGGTTTTTTTCCCCTTCTGTAGCAGCGCCGCGGCCCCTATCAGACGCAAGGTCCCATCGCACGAGGCTTCGTATAAAGATCGAGTGAGAGAAGCATTTACAGTCTAAAACAGGAAGGAGCAGGTGGGGAATAGGTACGCGGTTCACCTGAAATAGAAAGCAGGCGGGTGGAAAAGCTGGGGAGACGCTCCATCTCACTCCGCTTGATGTGCCCTGCTCCCAAAACCGGTATAGAAATGATTATTGAAAAAATAGATATGTACTGAAAAGGGCAGCGGGGCTCAGGTCGTATCCATATCTTCCCAAAGAGGGACTGGGGGAAAGAGGGCTATTATTAACGTCCTTCAGTGTATAGGAAAGCAGACATCCAACATAATGGCAACACAATACATCAATAATAGCCCAAGAATAGCTTCCTACCCCTTTCTTTTCCCTTGACAGTTAGAAACATAAAGAGAAATATCAGGCTGTGGAGATAAATAGCTAAGTCTCCACCCCCACCTCAAATTGCTATGGCATATTTTCAGAGATAAATGGTTCTCTGAAAAATTTAAATAGCGTTCTCTTTTCTTTTTTGGCAGCTGCAGGAACTGGGTCAGGTGTAGAAATTATTTCCAAGCCTGAAAAACCCAAGTGTTTGAGAGGGAGATTTTTCCCCTCTTTTAAGTATCGACTTTCTTAGAAGTAGAGTTAAAAAAAAAAAAATCATCTTTGTGCTTTTTACAAAGTCAGACAAAAAAAAAAAGGGAAGGTGTGATAGTGCAAGCTTGAGAAGAAGGGAAGGTTTTGGGTTTGCATAAGAGCATCAGGGGCATTTCAAATATCCCTGCTTGGTTGTTAATATTTTTTTTGCATCTACTGTTACACTTACCATGCCATCCAGCCAAGATAGCCCCAGGGCTGCAATTTAATGTGTAAGGAGTACTCTATTGTTGTTTAACCAGCGTTTCCAAACTCTAGTCCACTTCCCAGAAGAGCTGGGAGCTTTCTGCCAGAACAATTAGCTCAGATTCAACTACATTCAAATCATGGGGTCGTCGTTAGGTTTCAGAGTCAACGCCTCATTTGGTTGGATCTTCAGGTGACCGTCTTGCTTAGTCACCGGCAGCTTTCAGGGTCACGGAGATGAACGGGTGGCATGAAGGGCTCACAATTGATCCCAGGCTTGCTCATCGTTGCTTGCTACTACTTTAACTTTGCTGAAGTTACCCCTGACTTGCATTCCCCCTGCCATGCGTGCGCAGCCCCGCGGCTCTGGACAAGAGCCCTCTTTGCAACCGTGCGGGCTGCAATCTTAGCTCCAAAAGAAAGTTCAAGCCCTCCAGAAACTGCTGCCATCAGTGAAATGCTGGTATGTAAACTCCCTCCCTGGAAAGCATGCTAGTTAGGGCCTGAAAAGGATTCAAAAGTTCATTCTTACATGCATTCCAAGATCTCCGAAAATACACGCCTGGCATGCAGCCCGTGCTCTCCTGTGCAGGGTTGGTAACGCTTTCTCCTGTTCCCCGTCTGCTTTGCTGCAAGCCTAAAACCACGCCGATGCCTGCGAAAGAGGAAGACTCCTCCACCTGTAGTCCCTGCATCTTCGCACGGCGGTCTCCCGGATGGAGAGCAGCCAACGCATGGACCGAAGCCAGCACTGCGATACCTAGTAAATTGTAACGCGGGGAGGTAAGATCACCGTGCAGGCTGCGATCACGGGCTCTGCCCTTTATTACGGAGAGCGGTTGGGCTCCAGGAGCCCTCCGAGGAAATGTCCCGGGTGTGACGAACACGGGTTTGCTCCGGCTGGAGTCGTCCTTTCTTTGCAAGAATGGAAAGCATCCGTTTGGTTGGACTTTTGCAAGCGGGACAACCTCATTTCAAATCAAAACCGTGCAAGCGTGGGCCGAAGGGCGAACCCTAAACTCTCTTGTTCTGCTGGCAATCTGGCAGGGTTTTCAAGGCACCTGGCCGAAAAGCCCTCGCTGTTAATATTTCAACCTCACCTTTGTCAAGAGGTGCAAGGGAGCGAGAAGATGATAGTACCAGGGATGTGCGACATTTGTGAGCCCAAACTGAAGGCAGCTCTCTCCTTCTCCCCCCAGCTAGGCTTGGCCACTCTTCTCAGAAACACGGCCCCTGCGAAGGAAGGAGTCGTGATTGCAAAGGAAAAACCGGATGTCACAAGCAGCCTATGTCCAAATGTCCTGCCCGGAGGGAAGCCAAGCTGAAGGCAGACTGGGAGGGCCAGCGCTGCACTGGAAAGCTGTATCTGCAGGCTGTATTTGCCCCGTCTTTCTCCCCATAGAGACAGGGATCACGGCCTCCGCAGAAGCATTAAGCCTGACAGTCATTCCACCCCCAAAAGGGTGCCCTGACATACTTCAAAGGCAGCCTGACCGCAGCTAGGCTCCAACATCTGGAAAGAGTAAGTGTGCGGACACGAGAGAGCCACCGTCTCGAGGCCAGCCTTCACGGCTGCCCGCGTCTGCTGCCGGTGCAATGGTATGAACTGGAAGGAAAGGAGCTCAGCCACAGGACCAGGCAAGGAAGTGCCTCGACTCCCACTGGAAATATGGTACCTAATTCAGGGGCTTAACCCTTACCAGCCTCAGGAAATCCCGGTGAAGCCTAGACTGGCTCCACGACCAGCACCGCTGCTCAGGCTGGTTTGTCAGCAGCACCAGGGCTGCTTATCTCACGATGGTTTTGATATGTGGGAACAAAGAGAGGCTTTAAAAGCACAAATCAGCTGAGCCACAACCCCCTAGTGTTTGCTCAAAACCTACCCCCCTCCCACAGTACACGTATATCAAAAGCCATTTGATGCAGCTCGCTCCTTCTGAATATGTAAAACGTGGCGAATATTAACTTCAGAGATTCTTAATACGTACCAAAGCCCCACGGACCTTTGAAACGCTCGCTCATCAATATGCAATGTCTAATCTCATCAAAACCAAACCAAACCAAAAAAATTAAAAAACACAAGCCATTCATCCGTGGCTCGCCGAGGTTTCAGCAAGAATCCTAAGGAGCATCCAGCGCTGCCAGCTTCTTACACAAGAGAAAGGCTAAATATACGCCCCGGGTTGGGAAAGTTTCCCTTCGTGCAAGGAAGAGGGAAAGCCGCTGGAAGGGCGACGCCGGAGCCGGGCAGCTGGGCTCCAGTATGCAGTTTACTACCAAGCAAGGGCTGTGGTTTTGCATCCCGTGCCAGGGACGGGCGCCCTCAGGATCGCCTTGCAGAGCGGAGCAGCCACCGAAAGTCGCGGTCCTGCCCCCAGCGCCGCGGCTGCAACGGCTCCGCTTGTTTAGAAAATGTAGTGTTTCGTATCGCTCCCATCTGACCTCCCGCAGAAAGAAAAGCTCGGTTCAGTTGTGCAAATACGTACCAAATGGGAGCGAGGGAAGGCAGCCAGGACTGCTGAAAAGCTTTGCGGGGCTGCAGCCGCTTAGGGGCAACGGGCTGAATCGGACTACCGGCCAAATCGACTGCGTGTCCCGGCACGAGCCTAAAACGCTACGACGGCTGAATTCAAAGGGAAAAACGCGCCAGGCCAGAGACCCCCGAATTTCCTGCCCATCAAACACCATTTTCTTTTCCTCTTTAGGAAACTCTCGTTTTGCAATCCAGCATTTAAAAAAGCCGCACAAACAAGCAGGAGCTGAGCCGACAAAAGATGCTCGCTGCTCAAAGGAACTAGGTCACATCGAGTGTTTGCCTTTGCAATCTGGCTCAATATTAGTCTTGGATGTAGAACAGCAATAAAATGACCACACAGATATATAGGGAGATGCTGATTGTGTCTTTTCAATGAAATGCAGCGTTTATATAGAGCAAAAAACCCCCCCAACAACCCAGCGCTTTTCCGCCGACCCGAGATTTGGTTAATTAAAAAATACTCGCGGACTAAAAAAAGATTCGTATTGACTGGTCTCTATATAAAGAGATCTAATTATGCAAAAAAAAAAAAAAAAAGCCAGTGACCTCTTGAAAGAACAGAAAACAGGTATAAACTCCATGCGCAAGACCAGATCGACCCTTTGATCCCTCACAAGTGAGAATTGCAGCCGCCCCATTGATAGGAAGATATTAAATAAATACATACAGGAGAAAAACTACAAACATCTCAAGTTTTGAAGGAATATATATATATATACACAGGCATATACACATATATATATATATATACACATATGCATGTGTATATACATATATACATATGCATATATATGCATATATATATATATACACACAGACACACGCACACCCCTACCCTTCATCCTTAAAACAAATATCTGATTGGATTCTCCCTGATAAGTCCCTGCTTTCCTACGCCTCTGTGGTTCACGTTGACTGATTTTTCAGGTAAATTTTAAGGAAGATTTAAGGTACAATTTCAGTATCATTTAAAAAGCAACGAGTATAATCACTTCCTTTTGAGATTCGCATGGCAGGCACGTGGATCCCCTGCCTCTGATGCTATGGATGCATAGGGCTGCTTTGATTCAAGAGCTGAATCAATCTGGTAAGTATTGACTGAGTCTCACGACACGTCTGAGCGGCAGGTACTCTTGTTACACACGTGGGCACGCTCAGACAGAGGGTGCAAAAGGCCGTGCGAGTGACCTGGGGTGAGCGAGGGAGACGGAGACGGAGCTGCAAACACGGACTCTAACCACTGGAAAGGTCACCGTTCTCGGCCCCTTTTCTTGAGATGTCAAAATAATTGGGAAGAGTCGCACAAAACCCCCAAAAAACAAGGAAAAAAAGACCATTTAAAATTGCTCCTATTAACTCAGCTCCCATCTGATTCAGCTACAGAATCAGAGGGGGTATCTTATTTATAATGCCAAAGCGATGGAGAGTAGTGATGAAGAAAGGGCATGTGTAATAGGAACAGCACCAATTACTCGACTGTATGTCAAATCAGTCATCATCTCCAACCAGTGCAATGTGGACGTGCGGATGGGTCTATTCCTAAACCAACCGTTGCAAAGTTTCCATTAGTGTTTTTTCTTGTAAAAAGTCGAGGACGTCAGTGTTACATCTGAGAACTTCTATGCTACAAGTCCATCGAGAGCCCTTGATTAGGGTACACATTTCCATTGCACAGAGAGGCGCCAAATAGATTGGATGGTTTCACAAATGGCTGAGGAAGGGGTGTGGTGCTATCTTCATGGTTCATCGATGCAAAACTAAGGGCCTGGATAGACAAATCAACCGTTGCACCTTCGAACTGAAATGTAAAGGAAGACTAGAGATATCTCTGGAAATGTATTTGGAGTAATGCCTTTCCCAAGCTCAAAGGGATGAAGCCAGGCTCCGAGGGAGGGTCAGTTAGTGTTTCCTGATAGCAGCTGCAATAATCTGCATGCACCCTTCACCCCTTAAAATAAAGGACATAGCAACTGCCACGCTCACCATCTTCCTAAACGCTCATCGGCTGGTTGGAAGACTGGAGACAACACTGTTCCCAAAAGAAGTAATACTGTTTTTCTCAAGACAGCCATATCAGTTGGATTGAATCAACTAGGACAGCGGTTCTCAACCTTTTTTTTAGATTCGAGGCACCCCTCATTGGACGCGAGGCACCCCTTGGAAAATGCCAGCGCTTCGTGTTTTTGCTGGTTTTTGGACTACGGAAAAATACTAGAGTACCGTAATTCTTATATTGCAAAGATCCCAGAAAGACCACAAGGGTTTTAACACTGTGAACTTCTGTGTGAAACCTCTGGGTTGATCTTGTGAATTAAGTTTGCACACCTAAAACCTTGCAGTAAACCTGTGGCACCCTTGAACAGCCCTCAAGGCACCCGGTGCACCATGAAACCCCAGTTGAGAATCACTGCCCTAGGAAGATGGGGGTCTCCCAGAAGTCAAGTCATTCAAAACTGAAGAAAAGATGTCGTGCGAAATGTCACGGGGTCAAAGAAGGGGTTATTTCCCATTCTTCCTTTGTGGCGATATCCTATAAAAAGTTATCCAAGTCATTAAAATTGTTTCATTTATCAAAAATACCAAGGAAGAAAATGAAGAATGGAAAAAAAAAAACACCCTTACTACCTATTTAAAAAAGCCACGAGTGCAAATTTCAATAAATCTGATTCAAATATCATAAAATAATGCTGCAGAAAACATCGTCAAAAGAGAACGTGTCGTTAGCATTTGCAATTTCTCCCCCCCCGAAATGTTGTTGGAAAGGGCCCCAACTTTTAACAACAACGAGAGAAGTGTAGTGTTAAAGTGTGACCATCTCTGGTGCTAAGTAGTGTTGCTGCGTCCCGCTCTACTTCTGTTTGCACGTCACTCCTCGCGCCCTGCCATCCGTCAGCTCTCGGCACGCGGCTCGTGTTTGCTATTTCGAGTGTCACCGCGCCAATCGGCAGCACGTCTTTGCCTGTCAGTCCTGACCGACAGCTGCGACAGCTATGTAAAATAAGATCAGCACTGCTGGATGAACCAAGGCAGGATTCAAGCAATGGATAGGAACAAGATGCAACTGAAAATGCAAAAGAAAAAGGCTTTGAGCTCTTCAGATAGACGCGAAGTAGCAAAGCACTGGATGTCCTAGCAAAGAGCTCCCCAAGAGATCTTCATGGCGGGGACGACTCCGACGAGGAGTCTGCTGTGCCCTTTGTGCTTCCACTAGCTGCTGGGGAATTATCTCCAAGAAGATCTAATCCTCCTTTCCATCTAGGCGAGGATTCACTATGCTTGCCCAGGTTGGCAGCCTCCTATCCAAACCACCGATGGACTTCATCTGTGACCAAGTGCAATACTGGCACAACATCTGCAGAAGAATTGGGGTGCAAGTCATCCCCACGCGCCAAAACCTGGCCAAGACTTCCCGTAAGTCTTGCCTCTGCCTTACAGCTCAATGGTAAGCTTTACTCTGCTAGATGTCATGGTGACTAGTGTTTGGCAGCAGTGCTAAAAATACCCCTAAATTAATATTTTAAAAATATATATATATATATATATATAAAATCAAAGGTGCATTATCGGATAGGCTAAAGCTGTGATATTGCCTTTTGCTTGAAAAGGTAACATTCAGGCAATGATTAAAATAAAACAATAAATGACAATAAAAAGCCATCACGCTAACACAAAAACAAAACTAGAATTCACTTTGGGGGTGTGCCAGGGGATTTGGCTGTAACCAAGGCAACCAAATCTGATGTCCTAAATGTATGTCCTATTGAGGAACAGATTTAAGCCCACGCTTAAAGCAAACATTTAAGCCCGGGCTTAAATATTTTGCTGGATCTGGGCTTGATCCTGGGTCTCACATCTCCACCTGGGCAATATGAAACTAGATCAGGCTCCATTTTCTATGGCATGCTAGAAAAGCCGAAGAGCCTCCAAGGAAAAAGGTCTAGGTAATAGTCGAACTCCTTGTAAAAGGGAAGTTTTGGAGCGTTACTGTCCTCGGGAGATGATACGACTTGATATCAGGACTTGAAGGGGACCTTCAAAGAACGAGGTCTCTTTGGCATCAAGGCTTTTTCTTTGGAAAGAGATAACCGAGGATACATAATAAATACAAGCTCAAGATTGTGACGAAGCAATGCTTGGGCGGTGCACGAACGCGCCGCAACGGCCCGTCGGCACGCTCGCTTCAGACCCTGGTCGAACGGGGCGGACATGCGGATAAGTGATGACAGCCTCTATGTCACATAGATAACATTCTCATTCCAGAACAGTCATTGCAAATGTAGGCACCACGAACAAATGCATTTAAAACAAAAAAACTATTCTAAGCAATCACTCACTCAAACGGGTCACTGCTTCTGAGTGTTATTTAAAAAGAAATAAGAGTTTTGCTTGGATATTTTAAGTCTGAAAAACAGCTGCTGTTCAGGGAAGGAGAGCAACGCTCATGCCCTTTTGAGCACCTCCGATCCAGAGACCTCTCGAGACCCTTTCTGCAACGCACCCACCTGCTTGGAGGTTCGGAGCAGGGCGTCCGGGCTTATTCTTGGTTCTTGAATGACCTAATTTAAAACCTGAAATCCAGACACGGGCAGATATTTTGGAAAGAGAGGATCTGGATCTGGATGCTGCCATTTGGGCCATTCTATAATGAATGCAATTAAAATCGCACCACGTGGGAAGTCGGTTTGCACGATTACGTCCTGGTGTGCAGGGAGAGGTTACCGACATGTGGCTTGGCCAAAATCTAGTCTGCGGTTATCAGGAGAACCCTGCAGCCTCGATCTCAAGCCACATCACGTTCCCACCTCGTAGATACAGCAGCTGTTTCTCATCGCTTTCTAATGTGTGATTCGGAGCTATAAAGACGCAGCAACCGTCCAATTTAAACCTGCAAGGATACGGAAGTTCAGAGCTAGATCTGCCGCCCGCTCCGTGACTTCCTCCACGGCAGACATCACACTCCCGTCGTGCTTCGGCGAGGAGGCGCTAAGGAACCCATGACCGAGGCATGAACACGATGAGATGTGTGATGAAAAGGAAGGCACCGTCGGCGGGCTGAACTTCCACGTTTGGGCAGAGATCATCAAACAGCACTTATTTAACATTCTTTTGCACGTAAAATGAGTGAGCTCAACATGACCTGAGTTGCCATCGCCAGTGGTGAGAAGCCCAAATGCAACCTATTAAAAAAAAAAACGTGCCGAGACAAGTGAGGTCGAATTGCCTGCATACAGCCGGTAACACTCGTGAAAGCTGGGTATGAAATTTTGATATGAAGACGAGATGCTTTTGCATAGTCAATGCCCTGCCAGGAAATCCATACAGGAGAAAAATTCCTTTCCATGGATCAAACTTCCCACAGGTTGCTATGGGGCTAATTAGGGTAAAGCCAATGGAGTTTGCCCAGCACATACTTGCACTAATGGACAGGACAATCAGACCCCAATTCTCTAATTCAGTACAATGGCTTGATAACTATGGACATGGAGTTGTTCACTGTGACATGCAACGGAAAGGAAGCATACCAATTCCAGGAGTTACAGTCAGAGTCAATTTTCCATCTTTTCCCATGCTTTGCAGCCATTCATCCCATCCACAGGGATTTAGATGGGAAGTTATAATTATGTTGGGCTTTTGTGCTAAAAAGGAAAGCACTGTATTTTCCATTTCTATTACTGTGTGCACCAGAGGAAAAAAAACCTCACAAAACTTAATAGTCAAATCCACCAGTTCGTTATTAATATGGTCAATCACCCCTCAACGGCTTTGATTCCAGCTTGTAATCTGGTAAGTGCACAGAAAGGTATTCTTTTTGATTACATCTGCAAATAAGACATTAATGTCAATTCAGTGATATGAAAATTGCTCCTTCGTTCTGTAATTTGCACCTTAGTTATTAGAGGTTTCGTAAACAAGAGTATTAAAGCTCCCGCAAAACGAGCTGCAGATTTATAATTCGGTTCTTAATTAACAAACACAACAAAACAAGGCAAACCTCCAAGAGCTGCCCGTGCCCAGGTGTTCGCTGACCTTGGTCTTAATTTTTAACTCCTGGAAGAGAGGATTAGCGTGTCCCTTTTGCCTGGAACGCCAATCACTCCGCCGTTCCTGTGAAATGACGTTTCTTCACTGGGAAGAAAAAATATGATTGGAATGAAACTAAAAGCAAAGGCAAGCAGAACCACGTCCCTCTTTTCCTGTTTGGCAGCAAAAATGCCCCTGTGGGACTCTCAAGATGGAGAAAGAACTGGGTCAGCTCTTTGGAAAGGGCCCAGAATTGAATAGTGCCTCGTACTGTAATTCCTGTTCAAGTATGCTGCAAAAGCCCCTTCCGATTTTAAGGTCTGATTCAACGCCCATTAAAGTCAATGGGAATCTTTCCATTGGTGTCAGCAGAGGGTGGATCAAAATGGCATGACTTTACCTGTCTGGAAACCACCCCTGCCCATCCATTGGGTTTCTACACCGCTGCACTGATCGATGGCTGGCTTAAGGTTTTTTGAGCATCGCTCACGGACAGTAATGATTATTAGTCAGCGTCACTGTAACCACGTGGGGTTGCTTTTGAACCTTTTCAGACCCAAACTTAATTAACATCGCTTCTCAACGTACATAATTGGCTCCCGATCTCTAGTAAACCAACATGTGTATGGGTGAGCATATGTGCAAGCTGAGATCTTTCAGCCATTGCTCATACAGAAATGCTTAAGCATCTGTGAGTTGGAAGTATTGTTACTGAATACATTTAAGCAAGAGTAAACTATGATTGTATAACAAAAAAGGAAAAGGGTATTAAACTGGAAGGGAATGGAGACAAGCATGGACATGAGGGAGAGGTGGAGAGTCCAACTGTGGGCCCCCCTACAAGCCACACGTACGTGAAAGCTCGGCGGGGTCAGCGCTGCGTAGGCCGTGTTGAGACACGGCTTCTCGTCTCACACGCGTGCAGTCTGTTACTATGGAGCAAGCTCTAATTGAGAGACTTCACTCCCGATCTCATTAAAAATCAATGCAAAACAACTCAGGGCTTCCAGCAAGAACCGGATCAGACTGTCACACATGTAAGAGAAGAATCAAACCCAACAGTTTCAGCTTTATCTCAGGCAAGATGAATCATTTGGAGGTTCAGAAGAACCCCACTTAGGAACCAGCCCTCTTGGTCCAAGGCCTTCCAGTTTTACCTTTTCAATCGAGAATTAGGTTGGAAAGGAGTCAGGCTAAAAGCAACGCTTGTGCAATTCCCCAGCAGACAAAACGGGAGTGTCGCGGTGGGGGCTCAGAGGTCAGTGCTGGCCTTGGCAGTCAGTGCCTGGATCCGAGCAGAGTTGCAGGTCTTGCAAAGGATGTGTCCATCCAGAGGGTAACAGCCCTGGTTGTCCCCTTCAGACAGGAGGCCGCCACAGTCCTGGAGCACAGACAAAAGCCAAAAGAAATGAATGGTGGGAGACTGAAATAAGCCAAAAGCACCCTCTTAACCCACTCCTATCCCTGCTGCTCCAAAAATGCAGCCCCAGGCAGTGTGAAGCACTCAGCTGAGGTGCACACATCTCCCTTGATGTGCCACAGCGATGGGGCTCCCAAGCTCGCTGCTGCATGCAACCCCATTGCAAATATAACGCGGTTGTTCCTTTCCCAGCTCTGAGGAAGGGGAAAGTTTGCAACGCTGCAAGAAACATCCAAGTTGCAGCGGTGTTGGCTAAAGGAAACAGGAATAATAATAATTAAAAAAAGGCAGCGTGGCTCAGAAAGCAAGTTTGCTGCTAATATCTCTGACTACGGGTACCTGCCTGCCTCTGGAAGAGATGACTCCATAAAGCAACAAAACACATAGGAGCTAAGCCATGTGCTAGCCGCGCTAACATCACTACTGGGAGCCCTTTGGGCTGGGGCTGCGCCTACCCACAGGGAAACCCAGGCCCTACATCAGAGAACTTACAGCCTGGGCACACAAGACAGGAAAGCGAAGAAGAAAAGAGAGCCCCTTAACCCTCTCGTGTTTTGCAGATGGAGGATTGAGGCATGCAGAGATCGAGGCGCTGCTCAGCACTGCGCTGTCTACATGATTTAGGAGCCTGTGCCTTGCTTTCAACCACAATTTAGGCACCTGGAGCCTGTGTCCCAGTGGCTCTGGGGGCGGATGTGCTCCTAAATGAGGCAGGCATTGCAATACCGAAGCATGGCTTCGACACACGTGGGCCTCAGCAGCTGGCCTAAGTCACGGATAACAGCGTCAGAAGGGGGCAAGGACATTCAACAGGGAAGCAGCACCCGAGCTGATAGGCATATGTGACCAATAAAAGTCTTTAGCTACATGCTGTCTGCAGCACTAAAGACGCGGCGTGGTGCCCAGGGCAGCTGCCACACACGGGGGCAATGCTGGCTGCTGGTTGCCACCATGCCACTGGTGTTTCTTTTTAACCTTTGTGTGGCAGTGACAACAGCCATTATTTTCTGCCCCCCTCCACCTTCAAATCATCTCCAGGGGCGACTCCCCAAGTCACCTTGCCCTACGTAGGTCACTGCTCTGATGATTTCCTGGGTGTTTTTTAACTTACGGTTTTCATCCCCTTGTGCCTAAACTGACAGGCGTTAACCCTGATTTTAATAGAGGAAACATCCAACTCACAATCTATCGCGTGCTCAAATCTTACCATCTCATTACAGGGTCATACTCTCTTCCTAGCACAAGGACACGCTCATGAACAGAGGGCCTGACCCTCTCCTCTGGGTGCGTGTAGATTGAGAATAGCTTTCGGTGAAGTCGAGGGAGCAACCTGGATGTGCAGCCAAGGCGATCGCAGAAACGGGCCTGTTTTGCCTGGCACGCAAGGGCGTTTCTGCCATCACGGAATAACCCACTGTAGCTTTTTGTCCTTGGACGTGGTCTGAATGCTCACCTCGCACCGGTAGCACTGAACGTGGAAGTCACGATCCAAAGCCACAATGCGGACGGTCTCCTCTTGACCTGGAGCCGGCATGATGGGCTCCTTACACACAGAACATCTCGGTGCAAATTTCCTGAAGAAAACAGGCATATTTTGGGTCATCCAAGTGCACAGGCACATTCCTTTTAAAGGCTTGGGCATGCAACCCACTCGCACACTGGTTTGCTTTATACTGGTTTTGCATAGAGCTGTAAATTAACCCAGGAGGTGGAGCAGACAGACAGGCACCTATCCAGAGGCAGCTGCTTGCAGAAGGCAATGTTACAGCTTCTCCCTGCCAGGTGGCAAGGCAAGAAGTGACATCCTGCTTGCTTATAGCAGAGTTACCTTGGCACAGCTGCAGACACACGGCACTTGCACCAATGCAAGTTATGCCACTATAGTTTTACCTCTGATTCTACATTGGATCCAATTAAGCTGCAACAACGTAGGGGTTCATATCATCCATCTGCTCCTTCTTGACACGGTTGTAAAGCTGATGACACTCACGTAAGCATGTCATGTGCATCAGAAAGTCCGACACAACCGATAAACCCTGGCACAGCGTATATACTCTATCTGCAAGCAGAGCTGCCTCCTTGAAGAGGATGCATTAAGGATGGTTTTGAGGGCCTACAGCATGCTGCAGGAGACCTCAGAGACTACCTGGAGAGTATATTCTGCTTGCTAACATAGTGAGGAGGACTTTCAACTACATTCACCAAGGGATGGAGACATGAGTCCAGAGTTAAATAAATGGATAAAAACGTGGTTAGGGGAAGCAAGAGCAGAAGTCTCAGGGGAGAAAACAGGGCAATTAGCTGGATACCTGAGATGTTTGTATAAAGCTTGGGGGACAGACAGGAAGAATTGGGGGGTCCCAATACAATCACAGACTTAGGATGCAATGGGGATTATGGGCATACGTGGCTATAGCTTGTCCAGGACAAATAGATAGGGGAAGAAAGGAGGAGGCATTGCCCTATATACAAAGGTGATGCACGTGTGTCTGGCATGCAGTACGAAGCAGGAGGTAAACCTGATCACAGCTTCTGGGCAAAGGTCAGAGGGGAGAACAGGAGGGGGATGCCAGAGCAGACATGTGTTACAGGCCACCAAACCAGGAGGACAAAGTGGATGAGACTGGGGGAAGTTTCCAAATCGCTGGACCTGGCTCTCATGGGGAACTTTAATTAGCTGGAGGGGAAATGCAGCAGTGCACGAGCAGTGCAGCAAGTCCCTGGAGTGTGTCAGGGATAACTTATAGATACAGATGACAAGAGAGGCCAACTAGGGAGGGGAAGCTCTTGATTTACTGCTCGTAAACGGGGAGGAATCGGTTGAGACTATGAAGGTGGAAGATAAGTTGGGTGGCAGTGACCACGAAATGGCAGAGCACAGGAGCAAGCAATCTTGATGCAACAGAAGAATGGGAAATACAGCAAAGCCTGGCCAGACAGCCATGTCTTCAAGGAGCTGAAACTCAAAAAGGAATCCAACAAAAAGTGCAAACTTGGTCATAGTAGTAGGGAAGTGTATAAAAGCATCACACCGCAGAGGGAAAATTAGGAAGGTCACCGCAAAGTTTGGAGATGCAACTGGCCAGGGACATAAAAGGCAATAAAAAGGGATTCGATGAGTATGTGAAGAGTAAGGGGAAGACCAGAGAAGCCATCAGTCCCATGATAATTTAGTTACGGATGATGCAGAAAAGGCTGAAGTATTTAATGGGTGAATCTGATATCAGATTCACCCAAGGAACCTTGTCTGCCTATGTCCTTAGACCAACACGGCTACAACCTACACCCCTGAAGTATTTAATGCCTGTTTTTACTTCGGTCTTCCCAAATAGGGGTGACGAGCACAGTTGGCAGGAAAGATAAGGAAGGAGCTAAACAGCCTAGAGTTATGGCAGAAGAGATCAGGGATTACGTTGATGTTTTCAAGGCGGCAAGGCGGGATGGGATGCATCCTAGGGTAGTGAAAGAAGTGGTCGAGGTCATTTCTGAGCCATTCCTAATCCTCTTTGGGAACTTGTGGAGGTCAAGAAAGAGCTGAGATGGCAATAAAAAGGACAAACAAAGGACCCACCTTTACGAAAGGGAAGGGGAAGCTGAGGAATTACAGACCGGTCAGTCTGATCTCAATGCCTGGAAAGATCATGGAGCAGGTCCTCAAGGAATCTAGTGTGATGCCACTAGGTGATCAGGAAGACCCAGAAAGGATTCATGAAGAGCAAGTCATGCTCGACCAACCTGATTTTCTTCAGGTGACAGGCTCTGTGGATGGGAGGAGAGCAGTGGATATGATATACCTGACTTCAAGAAGGCTTTTACTACTGTCTCCCATGACATCCTCGTTAACAAGCTAAGGAAATACAGACTGGAGGAAAGGACTGCAAGGTGGATACAAAAAATTGGCTGGATCATCAATATGACTCCATATCCAGTTAGAAGGAGGTATCCAGTGAGGTTCCCCACGAGTCTTTCCTGGGTCCGGTATTGTTTAATATATTCATTAATGATTTGGACAGTGGGATACAACGCATGCTGAGCAAATTTGTGGACAAGTGGGGTGGAGTTGCAGACACTGGAAAACAGGGCTAGGATCCAGAATGACCTGGACAGACTGGCAAAATGGTCTGCAATCAGATCAAATTCAGCAAGGACAAGTGCAAAGTCCTGTACTCTGCATGCACAAACACAGACTGGGGCATGACTGGCCGGGCTGAACTGCTGCAGAGAAGGACCTGAGGGTTACAGGAGACTATAAGCTAATAATGAGTCAACACTGTGCTCTTGTTGCAGAACAGGCCAACAGCATCCTGGGTTGTACAACTAGGAGCGAATATCAAGGGAGGCGATTCTTCTGCTCTGTTCAGCACCGGCGAGGCCTCATCTGAAGTACAAGGTCCAGTTTTGGGCCGCCCACTTCAAGAAGGATGTGGACTGACTGGAAAGACTGATTGCTTCCTGCTGGACTGATTGGAAAGAGTCCAGCAGGAAGCAATACGAATTCATAGAGGCCTGGGGAGCATGACTGATGAGGAAAGACTGAAGGAACTAGGGGTCTTTAGTCCAAAGAGAAGAGAAGACTGCGGAGGGGGTTTGATAACAGTCTTCAAATACCTAGAGAGCAATTATAGAGAGGAGGAGATGGGCTTTTCTCTGTGGCTGAAGACAACTAGGAGCAATGGCCTCAAGCTGCAGCAGAGGAGACTGCGGTTGGAGTTTAGGAGGAACTTTTGACTATGTGAGTGGCCAAGCACTGGAGCAGGACGCCTAGAGTAGAGCTGTGAACTCTCCATCCCTGCCAATTTTCAAGAGCAGTTTGGATGGACACTTGGCCGGAGTGGTTTAATCAGGGATGATCCTGCTTCGAGCAGAGGGCCGGACTAGATGAGCTTGTGAGGTCCCTTCCAGCCCTACTTTCCTATCATCCTGTGATCTACAGTAGGTCACCCATCATTGTGGCATCTGAGTTAAGTAGTATAGTGGGTCATCATTGTGGCATCTGAGTTAAGAGCCCTCAGCATGCTAACTTCCTGCATAAATCCACTGAAGTCAAGAGCATCTCTCCCCTAAGAAGGTCTCTTGGAAAGTATGAAGATCCCAGAAGCTGGAGATGGACCCATAGGTAGTAATCCTGGATCGTGTCCCTGTGGAGAGGTTCTCTGCAATATAATTTTTGGAAGGTCTACCCTGCGGTGTCTGGGTCCCCCACTGCTCTCTGAGCTCTAGTTTTAGCTGGACCAGGCTTGTGCCCATATGGGTTGCCTGCCAAGACAAACCACCACGGCAAATCTGGCAGGTGCATCTCTTACTTACCTAATTTGCACTTGCAACCAGACAAGTGTAGGTGGAAACAACCCGATTTATGTTTTGGCCACAAAAATATGATGCCAATTCTGCACCAAAAAAAGGGTCACCGTCCTGCTG